AGACGCGTCTAAACGGGTTTGTGCTGTTGAACGCGTTTGCCATTGTTTCTATTGTTTTGGGCGACAAACGCGTCTGTGTCGTTAGACCAGGCCCCGGTTGAACTACCGTTTTTGTACAATTTGAAATACTGAACAAGTTTTACTTTGAAATGAACCAAGTTCAAACTTTAAAGGCTGCATAGTCCTAATAGTTAAATTAAGTGGTAATGACGATAATGGCAGCACATGCATGTAGGCCTAAGTGCCGTTTGCTCTGTCGGAAATTAGTTCCTGGAGCAGTATTTTAGGTGTCAGCATAACAGGTGATGCCAATCCCATAGTATCAAATACCGAACTTACGGTTGATAGGATGCCTCTTTGTGTACATGGCTGTTTCTTGATCGAAAGCTCGAAGAAAAGGCAATCACTCTCTGGGTGCCATTGAACTCCCAACGCCCTTTTACTTGGAATTCCTTCCTCCTTAAATCCAAGAGCTTGAAGTTCTTTGGACCTGTCCTCCACTGGAATTGAGTTAATAACTTTTCGTCTGTTACTAGTCCACTTGGCTAGATTAAACCCACCTTTGGCGCACATCTGCTTAAGATCTTTTATCATATCTACTCCTTGAGTTGTAGAACCAACTGACTTCAAACAGTCATCGATGTAGAAGTTACGCAGTAAAGTCTGTGAAACCTCTTCCCTTGCACTCGACCTATTGTCGATCGCCGTTTGTCTCAATGCCATAATGGCGCAAGCGGGAGATGACGCCGCTCCGACCAAATGAGCTGTCATCCTATACTCCACCGGTTGCTGGTCGATATTCCCTCCTGGCCACCATAAAAACCTCATGTAGTCCCTATCCTTAACTGACCCATTTACCTGGCGAAATATCGAATTAATGTCTGCCATTATAACCACTGGGTCCTCCTGATTACGTTGCAGTTTGGTCTTCAATCCTGCTAACCTCTTAATCACCATACACTTATTATTATGGAGTATTGGAGTGCCTTCCTTAAATGGGAGGTCGATGTTGTATTGGCCATCGATAGGTTTTATACTATCTTTCACTTTAGAGATGAACAATTTGTCCTCTTTCGACGGCTGTTTAGCATGAGAGTCCCTTTTCCGGGAAATCCAACTCAGTATTGGTTCTCACCAGCTTCTCGTTGATCTTCTTCCAGTTGTGTTATTCCAAGCATCTCGATCCTATTTACTGGAAAACACTGCTTAATCTGGCAACCGCCAGTCCGTACTAAATTCCATATTAACCATCCTAGTTTGGTTTTGGTGGCATGGGGGGGGGGTGGGGGGCAAACGTTGGTCCGGTCACTACCTGTTGAGGACAATACGCTTCAGACACTGGGTTGCCAAGCAGGATACCTAATTCTGCATCGATGCTCTAAATTACTACCAGTCACTTTACGATATTAGTATTCATTGTGTGTGATGTACCCATTGTTTCGATGGAAAATTTTGCTCCCTCCCCTTCAACTCCCAATGCATCTAGTAGCCTTGATGAAATGAATGAGATACTACTACCTGGGTCTTAAAACGCATTTGTCAACACATTTCTACTATTCTTGCACCTGACCTTGACAGGTATAATGGCTAAAGTGCATTCACCTGTAGTGTCAGGACAAGCCGAAACAAACTGCCTTTTATCAAAATTCTTGTTTGGTTCCCTGTGAAGGATTGTTGGGTGTGAACCTTTGCATGTTTTGCATGTTGACCTTCTTCTACACTCTTTACTCCTATGCCCCACTCGGAGACACCCAAAGCTCGCTTTAGCTCGCTTTAAGAACTCGATTTTCGCTTCTCTTGCTAAAATATTAAATTTAGTGCCGTTCTCCAATTCGTGTTGTTCTTTGCAATAAAGACAAGTCCTTTCACCTGTCACAGTGACATAACTTCCCTTATAAGGCCTCCAGCTTTTGTCGCTTTTTACTATCCCGTACACAGGATTATTCGCAATTCTGCTTTGCTTTTCAACGTAATCCGCTAGGTCGTCAAATGTTACCATTCGTTGCTGATCTTCTTGAATGCCATCAGTGATGGCACGCCACTTTACCCTTAATTTGTATGGCAGCTTACTAACTAGCATATGTATGGTCTTCGAGTGGTTCAGTTCTGTTCATATAGTTTAAATCACTCCAACAGGAACAGGGAAAGACAAGGCATAAGGGTCTTCTGCACGGATGTCAGGAATTTTTTTAACCTTTTGCATATATGCATCCACCATTTTTTACTTGTTTCCAAATTTACTGGCAATCGCCTTTCGTGCCTTTCTGCATCCAGATGCATACAATTTCGTAATAATCTGTTAACATCACCTACAGTAAATTGTTCTAGGTAGTACAGCCTTATCCTACCATCACTCTTCTTTCTTTCCAATTCATGTTCTAATGCCTTTATGAAGGCATCGTACTCATTTGCATCACCATTGTAGGGTGTTATTTTCCGGCGTGGCAATGTTGCCTTTAGTTGACTCGTTACAATTTCCTTAGCCATCTCGATTTGTTGTCTCACAAAAGTATTCATCATTTCATTTTGCGAAGGCGGTGACTGCTTTGGTAAAGTTGGCAGAATTCCAGCAGCCTGTGCATTCAAGCTCGAGTGCGCAGCTGATTGCGCACTTGGCAATGTTATCTTTGGAGCCTCCTCCTTTGCTCTAACAAAGCTGACCTCCTATTGTGTTTTGTGCTCGTCAGCTTCATTTTCCTGGGCATTGGTGCTGTCAACCTGAACTTCTTCATTCAGAAATCTAATCATCTTCTCCTGTTTTGACTCTACTGGCAATCTGTGAACCTCAGACTCTTCGTCACCCGACTCTAACCTCTCGACCTCCTTGTCTAGAGCCGCCGATCTTACTTGGAAAACTGCAACCTCTTCCCTTATTCCCAATAACTCCATTTCTATATTTGCATCCATCTTAGCCATTTCCGCAGCAACCTTCCTCTTTGCAAACTCCTGTCGTGCCATCGCCACCGCCAAGTCTGCCCTTGCCTGTGCAGCACTTAACTTTATTTATGAGACCGCTTATGCTCTGCTACCTTTGCTACTTCCTGACCTTAGTGACATAATGAAGAGTACTCTTGTTTATACTCTTCTGTAGTAGCTAATTTTCGTAATGATGTACTGCCCTCAAATAAAACGTGTAAACGCAAAGGTTATTCAACACTTTCTTTAATTTCTCCTTTAGTTGAATTATAACCACTTATGGTTAGACTATAACCTTATTTTTTGGTTGAACTAGATTAATGAAAGAACAATAAAGTTCTACAATATAACATAGCATGTATTGAAAATGTTCGGCCTATCATCCAACATTATGTAATAGACTCAATCAGTAATAATTAGCACAACTGCATCAGTATATTGGTTAAAACAGTAAAAATAGAAGCAAAAAAATAAAGCATTCGAAAACGTGAACAATCTAATGCATTGCCGTGTCGATGCGCCATAAGCATTTTTACGGATGGATACCGGTGCACAATACATTTTCATTATTATCTTTATATATATTTCTTAAAGCCTAATAACTTATTTTTTTCGTTGAAAATATTTCTACAATGGCTAGGAGATAAAGACAAGATTTACTTTTACTTAAGTCTAGAAAATGTTTTTTTTTCTTGTTTTTTTTTATGGTAAAATGCGCAACATTTTGCACCATTGAGTACGTACATCTTTATTTCTGACACAGTACATGATAAAAATAAGAAACCCTTGAAAAGAATTAAGAATACAAAAAAGCCACAGCATAATTACTGCAGCATCACCAATAGCGAAGAAGCCGATAATCCACGTTAAACCCAACAACAACGTAATGCTCACTCCATTTTGTAACATTTTCATCCCATTGTTTCTCTTTTTCTGATTTTTTAGTGGAGAATCATTTGTTGTTTTCCCACGTAGGCTTAAACTATGTAAAACCATAATGAATATTAAGGTGTTGAAAAGTAAGGGTAGAGCAACAGGAATTGCAACAGCGTAATACATACGCTTTAGGGTCAGGAAACAACTGCAAGAAAAAACAAAACAAGAGTAAATTGCTGAAACCGTTGTGGAAGGTTCCATAATACACAGTACAGTATTGTAAAATTTACAATAATATTCCATTGATCTATGCATGTACATATTACATCTATGAGTATATATTTCAAAACATATCACTTGATTGATATATATATATATATTCCTATACATTCATATTATATACATAGGGTTTGGTCTCGAATTAGAGGGATATCTGTGAGTCAAATGACTGAATAATTGATACTTTGAAAACGTGGTCTGTAAGTAGAGGTGTTCGTAATTTGGGGGCGGGGACAACTGTATTAATAAACAAATAATAAAAAATAACTCAAATACATATGTATGGATGCTTACTGTACTTCATTTATAGTTTTGTTTGATGCTAATCAATAGCAAGCACTTTAGCAGATATTTAATCATCTAAACTTCTCTACATTATCATTTTTGAATAACTTACTGAATTTTAGAATCGATATAGCTATCAATATCAATAAATGCAGAAACTAAGACAATCACCACTGGTAAACCTAAGTTAAAAGACAAAAATTCAACGTGAATTAATTAGTATTTCTGTTACAAAGTATATGATTTCTATACTGCAACTATAAGCCTAACCTAACTTTTTTTTCAAATTATCTTTAATATCAAAAATAAAAACTTACCCCATGCAAACAAGCAACCTTTCAGAAAAAAGTGCAGTACATAAGCATCAAAGACTTTGACTAATAAATAGTACATATTAACTGCTTGAACGCTCATCCAGAAAACTGACGATAGCAAGAAGTAATGTAAAAGAGCCCCAGAAACTATACACCCTTCTCTGCTGTCTGTTTGATCAATTCCAGCAAGGAAGACGATGTACAAACCAAGCAAAGACAGGCACAGCTGACATTGAATTTTCCTGGGTTCACTCCGCCGAAAGTTTCTATAACAGCAAAATATTATCATTATTTTTTCTTTGCTAGAGTACATTTCAGCATTTATTTTTGAAGGATTTGCGCGTTAATAGACATCTTCTTTGAATATTTATTTTATATCAAAACATCTGCTAACACTATTTTTACGTATATTTTATGGCGAGTATTAAAATTGGGTTGTGTGCACACTTTTAAACTTCTGTTTAGTTTCAAATAAATTTCCGTTTTTTTCAAAAGACAAAACATTTACCTTAACTCTTTTAGAAAACAAGTATTTTAATTGCAACCTTACATTAAAAGCATAGTAGTTTGTCAAAAGTCTATTAAAGTAAAGGTTTAGTGTAACAATTAATGATAATTGTTACTCTAAATATTTATGTCAACTCTATTATTGATATAATCATCAAAAAATATATATATATACATATATATATAACATACTGTCTCTTATACACATCTAGATGTGTATAAGAGACAGACCCCTCTCCCACCCCTTGCATACACCATGGGGATATAATGTGTATGAATTACGATTTACCATCTACAGTTCAATAGAGATCCTAATAAATTTTAATCATAATCTGCTGTGTGTACCAGGGTACACCACTTTTGTTGTTAAGACATAATAGAGGTAATTACTTCTCAACACATTCTATAAGGCCTAATGTTCTACTCCAATTTATTTATAACCACGTTGATCAATAATCTTTTTATGATCACACAATAACACATATTTGACGGTAATATGTTGTAGTTTATAGGCCTATATATACATTTTAGACCAAAAAAAAAACTCCCTCGAAAAAACTCATCCCTCGAATAAACGTCCCTCAAAACCCCTTCTCAAAAATAAACAATGAAAGAAAGGTGTACAATCATTGAAAGTTGACGGAACACAAATTTATTAAGCTATAACAAAATCAAACGGATATTTCGATAGCTCCTGCTATCTTCATCAACGTTAAAGTGAGAAAACTTGGGAGATCTTACATATACATAAAGAAAAATAAACCAATCAGAATCAATAGAAGTTATCAATACAATTAGTTGATTGGACCACAAAATATAAGTTCAGTGACAAGTTAAAGGGCGAATTAATTACAATTAAACCATGATAAGATGTCGGCAAAATGATTATGTAAGCAATAGTTTATTGGCGGTGCCATTGAACCAGCTTAATGTTAAGACTTATTTAACTACAGTAAACAATAACAGGAAATAAAACCAAAAAAGTAAGATTAATAAGGTCCTATATAATTAAAACAATTGTGGAATAGAAAATAAATAGCAGAAATATAAGGTATATGTAATAATTTAAATAATATAACGCATGATATCATGATGACAAATAAAATATAGTTTAGAAATCAATGAATATAAAAAAATGTACATAAGTAGAAATAATATATAGCATATATAGTTAGATACTGTATTCATAGAGAAATATTGCGTATGAAGGCATAATCACATGTAGTCCTTATTTAGACCCTTAATGTGAATTTTTAACCGGATTATCCATTTCATTTCTGCGTAACATTCTTCACAAGAGGTGACTATTTCGAAGCACATATTTTTTTGAAAAACAAAATTTTCGGGAGCACCTGCTCCTCACTTCAGGGTTACAATTGAAATGACTCAAAACAGCACTTAACGTGTAATTAAAACAGCATAGGCCTAGATGTATATTGCAAATTAAACTACATTATCAATATAAACTATAGAGAGATAACCGTGGTGGGAGAACAGGGGAAAGAATGAACAGTTTAGAGGTGAAAGGTGAAGTCAGCAAGAAAGTCAAGATCTTTGTTAAGGCCATAGGTGTGAGTTTTAAGTTTGATAATCCAGGAAAGCTCTGAAATGCGGCGATGATGAGTGGAGTTGGAGTTAGAGTAGATGATGGTAACACGCAGATTGTTAATAGAGTGATGCGGAAAATTAAAATGTTGGGCTACGGTTTTGTCGGGGGCGTTTTTCCTAATGCCGTGTTTGTGTTGGTTAATGCGGTGGGTTCATGGTTTGGCCAACGTAGGTGCCTTTGTTACAAATATTGCATGTTATTTAAAGTGCCTCTGCCACCTATTCTGACAATTTCTATAAACTACAGCGTGTTTATATTTATAAATATATTATAAACACAAGTGTTGGTCATAAATTACGAATAAAATTGATTTTGTACTAAAAAAAAATGAGTTTTAAGTGTCATTTTCGTAAGACCTTAGAAACAACGAGGTCACTCAATGACGTCATTGGTGACCGACAAAATTCATCCAAGCGCTAAATCAAAACAAACACCTCGACGGCCTAGCGGAGGAAGAAAAAAGCGAGCATGTTGGTATACGGAGAATATTTCAACTCATCTTCATCGTATAAAAAAACAACAGATGAGGAAGACAATGACGTTGTTGTCCATACCTATTTATATGAGTCTTGGTATGAAAAAGAAAAAAATACAGAAGATGGTAATAATATTACGAATCCGATCTTAGAGTAGGCCTAGGCTAGTGTGGGAGCGAGAGCGAGCCTCTCGTCGTATCGATAGATTGTTTACTAACTGCTTCATGGTTGTGCAATAATACTAAAAGTAGGAATGAATCACGTATATTATTATTATTAATGATTATTACTTTAAAATGGCATAGTGCCTAAGCCATAATTTTAGAGAGCTTTGATAAATATGGTGTACGTCAGAAAGAAAGCACATAGCTACCACCACATCCACGAACTTTTTCTAGGCCCCAAAATGGGCAGCGGACTGGGCTTGAATTGGTGTGCACCTGATCTATAAATGGTCGTTTCAGTCCATGCATCCTGTTTATTTAGAGATAATTACAGACGTGTTTGTTGAGAGACAAGTGCGTAAGTCAAAAGTAGTAAATAGGGCAATATATTATTACTGATGGTGATAGATGTTGTTGCACTGAATAGTATTACAATATTTTGAACCCGTCATCACCAATTGAAAAATCAATCCGTCAAAATAATCCAAGCACTGACAATGAAAAAACCAGTCATTGTAGCAAAAATGGAAAAGATCGACATGACAGGCCAATGTATCACTACTATCCACCTTGGTTTTCAAGCATTTGTTTATCATCAGTGTGTGCTCCATTTCTAATACCGATCAAGTAATATGATGCCACATTCGTTACAACAACATTCGACACAAGTT